CTAGCTTCTATATTGTAGCGGATTTTCGGAAATTCCCACCTTTTTTCACCCGTACGTCACTACTATGATTTATTATTTTATTAAATAAATTCAAATACGATTGTTTACATTATTTCATTTTTATCAAGAACTATGAGTTTGTATTTATTGTAGTTCTTCAATCGAGCGTTGTCACCTTTCTTGAAGCAAAGTTGACGAGTATCACGCATCCGGTACTAATAGTCTTCAAATTAATATCTTGACAACTCCTGCCAGAAATATACCTTTTCAAAATCAAAAGAGAATTGATATTTAGTGCTCTTTTACATTTATCAATTGAAAATGATATCAATTTAAAATGATAACATCTTAAAAAATCGATTAAAAATGAAAAATGTTAAATAGTGGCTAAGTTTTGAAGATCCGCACGTACAAATATTTTTATGGCCTACAAATAATTGTTTCAGGTCCAAGTGTAGGACTATGTTCATTTTATACATGTCATCATCAAAATTACGGCCTATTAAAAGTTCACTGCTCTACGTAGGCCTTTCCTTTTGGGGGCATATTTATCATAATTTCCTCGATTGGCAGGCGGGTTAGCACGTGAAACAACATCACAATATTGTCAGACATTGTCCATCATTATACATAAGCAATTTACAGGTACTTTAAGAGTGCGTATTTACCAATTCGTATAAAAAACGCAAATGTTATTTGAAATACTGGAAATTATAAAATATTAACCGTTGAATTCCTTTTTAGAATTAATATTTTACCGCAAGTTGGACAAAAGTCATTGGACTTTTTGTAATAAACCATTGAATATTGATTCATAAGATTATTTTACATTCGGAACTGCGCCTAGGGAGTAGGAGTACCGGAAAAGACGCATTAAAACCGGTGCAAACTCCGGAGCGCACGTCTTCAGCACAATAGGTGGGACTCCATCTAGCCCACTCGACTTGATGACGTCCAGGGAGAGAAGTGCTTTACGCACCGAGCGCTATATAATTCAGTTTATCTGTCTATCTATTTTACAAGCTCATCTTCATCAATCAATAAATCTTATTGAATTATGAAGTGATATGCGTTTATTGCGGTGGTTTAGCAGCTCAATGGCTAATCATTAGCAGCGACGCTCTGGGTATATTCCCAAGCGATTCAAGTATTTTTCAGTAAACAAATAATAATGTTTGTATAGCACTATAATATCACTAAAGAGGATCCACTACCCCAATCCAACTCGTGGGTGGACAATTGAGACAGAGGGTAATTATAGAGGAGATGGCCAGCAGCATCCTTTTTATAACAACTCAAAATAATAATAAAAATTGCCAACTCGCCTGTCAAGTATAATTAAGTATATTTAATATAGTCGCCTACTTTGTTATTTTATAGCATAGGGTAAATGGATACTGTGGCCCATAGACATCTACATTTATCTTCAATTAAGAATCAAAATGCAGATGCGTTGTCACCCGTGAGGACCAAGATGGAATGCCTCGTTTCCAGTAAAAAGGGTCTCCGGTTCTCTACACACACTGTTGTGGCTTCGGAACAGTCCCGATATAATATCCTTTTCCTAAGTATTTCCTATCCTCCCGCCTCCCCAATATATGCACTACTCAAAATGGTGCGCCACCTATCGTCAAGAAAAAGAAGAAGCAAGATGGTCGCGCACGCATAAAACGTGTTCGTTACTGCTCGTTTAAAAATACTCAATGAATAAGATGTAAGACTATCGTGCAATTGCTCGTGTCCATATACATTCGAAGTGCAGTGTGGTGTCTGTGTATACACGAGAACTTCAGCCTAAATATTTAGACTTCACCATAACCACGAGGAGTGCTCCAGTCTTGTGAGTATCCTTGCCTTATCTACCCAGTTCTAAAGCTATTTTCATTTACTTCCTGATTGGGATCATCGGGTTAGCCAGCCCTTGGTCTGTTTGTTCTCTGGTTCCCAAAACCACCCTACGAAACACATTGTGAAACATTCAAGCCGTAACATAATTTCTGGTCCATACGATCCGGGTACCTATGGATTTCTATTTTTATACAGTCTGCTCCTTATTAATATAATATCAAGTTCAATTTCTAAGGAAAACTTTGATATTTAATCTATTTTTCTTATAATTGAAAGTAACTAATTCATTTCAATTATAATCCTGCTAGACTTGAATGTTCGTGAAGTGTTTCGTATTGCTCAGACTTTGTAGACTTATCTTATTTGGTTGCGTTATAATTGCTAAGTTTATTTCGAATGTGCATTGATAGTCTTACGCTTTGAAAATTATTATAATTTGAGGGTATTTTATAATTATTGTTGGAAAAAATTACTAAATCAGTTTATGGAAATGATTCATTTGGTCTTGGAATAATAACACTTAAGTATAAATACTTGTATATCTTTGAATGTTAAGTCGTTTGTTAATTGTTATCTAATTCAAACAGTTAAAAAACGTTAACATAAAATTCAGTGTTAGAATGTTAATTTAGTTTTGACAAACTTAAATATTGATTTAAATATCTGTTGTTAATAATTATGCTTAACATTCATATTTAATATTTCGCTGTTATTTTATAATCATGTCGCAAGAAGAAATGAAACTTAAACTTTATACGTCATAGCGAGGGTATGTTTTTCGTTCTATTCAAACTCTTTTCGATTTATCCACTCAAATACGGAAAGACTCCAGTTCATCTAAAGTTAGCCAATTTAAATCTAGATTTCTTAAAATTGAGAACATTCGTGATGAATATGTGTTGCTTACGGAAAAAATTAATTCGTTTAAACTGACACTGTTTCCTAAAGAAAAAATAGATATGCAAGCGTTGTCTGCATTTGATGATATGTACTATGAAGTCCTAAGTTTTGCCGCGGAGATGTCCCTACCGGAGCGCAAACGAAGCAGCAGCCCAACGTCCGCTGACGTTAACTACACCTTTACGCCCGACGCGGAAAAGATACAAGCTAGACTGCCACAAATTGAGCTTCTGAAGTTCGACGGAAAAATTGAGAATTGGCAAACATTTTACGACACTTTCGTAACCTTAATTCATAATAATAAATCAATCGCGAATATTACTAAATTTCACTATCTCATTTCTTGTTTATCGGGATCCGCCTTAGGGATCGCAAAGAAGGTAAAATTAACTTCCGATAATTACGAGCTTGTATTCAATGAACTTATTAAGCGTTATCAAAATAAGCGCATTTTAGCCGTGGCGTATTTAGATCAAATAAATAACTATCCTTATTTAAAAACTCCTAATTTCAATGATTTACAAACATATACTAATATTCTTTGTGAGTCAGTCAATGCCCTTTAGGCCTTAGAGCTAGATGACTAAGGCGATTTTATTTTATTTAACGCAGCGTTTCGCGCACTGGACTCAGATACGCGCCACCGCTTCGAATCTGAAAATAAATCGGAAATTCCTTCTTTTCAAAGTCTTATGCAGTTTCTTCAAAACTATTTAAAAGTTTTAGAAATAAATGCTAATGTTGACATTAGGGCACGATCTTCTCAATTTTTAGGCGGTAAACAGATCAAGAATGTTTCACCGCGGGCACCGAACCTGAAACGTTCCGTGCTCACTACTCAGTCTAAGCCTACTAGTTCGAAGCAGCTGGCTTCACTAGCGTGCTATTATTGTGGCGCAGCGCACAGTATCTATAAGTGCCCCACGTTTCAATCTTTGGACACCAGTGCTAGAAAAAATATTGTCAAACAAAATGATTTATGCATTAACTGTTTACGAAAACATTCTCTTGATAAATGCGTCTCAAAAATGAGATGTTTTATATGTAGTGGTAATCATCACACTTTGGTACACATCGACAACCAAGTTCGATCACCGACCGCGGTGACCACCGGTTCGAGTAGCGCCCACACTAACACGAGTGCGTTCGTGGGAGAGGCTCGTGGCCCGTGCGTGGTGCTGCTCGGGACGTGTATGGTGCGTGTGCAGGACTCTAGTGGCACGTTCCATCAAGTTAGAGCGCTGATCGATAGCGGCGCTCAGGACTGCTTCATCACTATGAAATGCGCAAAGAGACTTGGCTTTCAATTGCGTCGATGTACCACAACTGTGGCTGGACTTGGACAACAGTCTGTGTGTCAAGTCAAGGGAGTGACTCAATGCTCTATACGCCCGTGTGATTCGAATGGCCCGCAATTTGATATTAATCCTATAGTCATCGATAGCATTACTTCTAAAATGCCAACCACTGATATACCTCTAGCGGTTCGAGACTGTTACAAACACATAGTATTAGCGGACCGTGACTTTGACAAACCGTCTGATGTTGATTTATTGCTAGGTGCGGAAGTATTTCATCACATCTATGACGGCCGTGTCATTCACCCAGAGCCCGGCTATCCTGCTGCTTTACATAGCGTCTTTGGTTGGGTGCTCTCAGAACCCACCAATGTGGAGAGTCCGGTAAAATCAGTTGGCACTTCGTTAATTACTTCAACCAACTCATTGGAGAAGATGATGAAACGATTTTGGGAAGTCGAGGAACCGCCTCATCAACATATACCTGCTCCAGAAGATGAGGAGGTTGAACGCCTGTATTCCACTCAAACTTATAGGGAATCGGACGGTAGATATGTAGTTCCTATCTTATTGAAGCAGTCGTCTGTCTATATGGGAGGCTCATATAATAGTTCTTTGTCGCATTTTATAAATCTTGAGAAAAAGCTTTGCCGACAACCAGAACTTAAATCACTCTATAACGATTTTATGCGTGATTATGAGCAGCTTAACCATATGCAACCAGTGGGAAAGGATACTACACCTGGTAGATATTTCATTCCTCACCATTGTGTGATTCGTCCAGAAAGCAAAACGACCAAACTTCGCGTTGTATTCAATGCGAGTCACAAGACGACAAATGAACTATCTTTAAATGATATTGTTTACACTGGACCGAAGTTACAGGCTGATTTGGTTGACATTATTACTGGATTTCGGGTCCATAATGTAGTGTTTACATGTGACATATCTAAGATGTACAGGCAAATCTTGATAAGGTCTGAGGATCGAGTGTGGCAACACGTACTATGGCGTGAATCCCCTTCCTTGCCTGTTCAAGAATTTGACCTTCGTACGGTCACATACGGAGTCAAAAGCTCGCCGTACTTAGCAATACGAACATTACATCAATTAGCTACAGATCACGGTGATCAGTTTCCTCATGCTGCTGAAGCTCTTCGGCATCATACTTATATGGACGATATTACTACAGGTACTTCCTCAGTCGAAGCAGCCTCTCAGCTTAAAGAATATTTAATCAATCTCCTTAATTGTGCTCAGCTAGATTTGCGTAAGTGGAGCAGTAACAGCCCTTTATTTCTTCGATCGTTACCCATGGAACATTGTCAGTGTCCGAAGACATTTTCTGATGATAGTTCAATAAAGCTTAAGGTTTTGGGAGTTCAATGGGATCCTGAGGAAGACTATTTCACTTACTCCGTCTCTCCTGTGAATGTGGAGTTTACGAAACGTTCAATCCTGTCCCACGTAGCTCGTATTTATGATCCGTTGGGTTGGCTTTCACCTTTTATTCTTTTCGCCAAACTACTTCTTCAAAACTTATGGCGTATTGGATTGTCTTGGGATGAAATCATTCCCGCCAATCTGTGTGACGATTGGGTTTCATTTGTGTCTGACTTGTCTAATATAAAATCGATAAAAATCCCTCGTAAAACCGTGATTGACTTAGCAGCTACACACCAGCTGATTGGGTTTTGCGATGGATCAACCAAAGCATATGGGTGCTATGTCTATCTTCGATCAAGTATCGATGATCAAAAACAAGTTTCTCTTTTGATTTCTAAATCTAAAGTGGCTCCGATTAAGCCTCTAACAGTTAATCGTTTGGAGTTGTGCGGTGCGCTCTTGTTATCACGTACTCTCAAACACATGCAAACTTTACTTATTTCGAAAATAAATATATCTCATATTGTTGCCTACACTGATAGCTTAACTGTATTAGCTTGGATCAATACCGAGCCTTACAAACTGAAACCTTTTGTTGCACATCGAGTAGTTAAAATAACTGACGCATTTGAACCTTCTATCTGGAGGCATGTCTCGACTCAGGACAATCCTGCTGACTTTCCTAGCCGAGGTCTCTCGTGTGCAGAATTGGTCAATTGTACGCGATGGTGGTCAGGACCAGATTGGATGCTTAGTGGTCCAGATCACTGGCCAGCTCAAAGTCGGTGTGAGCCCCAAGATGAGTTGCCAGAGTTCAGAACACGCACTCTGATTGCTCAATCTCGGGAATCTGATAAAGACATTATGAAGGTGTTATTAAATCGGTATTCATCCTTATCGCGACTACAACGAGTATTGGCATGGGTCTTTCGCTTCATTTCTAATTCGCGCAAAGAACAAAGCCAACGCGAGAAAGGTCACTTGACTACGAATGAGGTAAAGTGCTCTCTGCTTAGCCTTATTAAATATGTCCAATGGGGCAGCTTCAATCAAGAGATGTCTCAATTAAAATCGCAGGAGCCTCTACCTAAATACTTACAAAAGTTGTCTCCGTTTATTGATAACCTAGGACTCATGCGAGAGGGTGGACGACTTACTAATTTCAATTTACCTGAACACACAAAACATCCATATTTGTTACCGAAACAATCTATTTTATCTCAATTATTAGCTATTATCATAAACGGTATTTGCACTGTGGACCTCGCACGTTACAATCTCTAATAGTTCGCAAGTTCTGGATTTTAGGAATTAGAAATCTTATTCGTTCTATTTTAACAAAGTGTGTGACTTGCTTTCGGGTTAAACCTGTACCCTATCAGCCATCTATGGGCAACCTGCCACCTTGTAGAGCTCAACAAGGTTACTGTTTTCAACAGGTAGGGATCGACTTTGGCGGTCCTTTTCTTATAAAAGAAAACAGACGACGTAACGCACGGGTCAGTAAGGCTTACATATGCTTGTTCATTTGCTTATCTGTAAAAGCAGTTCATTTAGAACTCGTATCTGAACTGTCTACAGAAGCGTTTCTAGCCGCCCTAGACAGATTCGTGTCTCGACGTGGAATATGTCAACATATTGTGACCTTAAAGACTAAAAGAGGCTTACTTACAAGACCAGTATTCAAAGTCTGCCCTCTTCCTCTTGATTGAATCTTATTTTTATTGTTTTATTAATCTAGATTGTAAGTTCTAATTTTACAATTAAATTAACTAAGTTTGATTTTCTTTTGTAGTTTAGTTAAGGTTATCAATGCACAACTTAGCTCAGATATCTATTTGGTTTATATTAATTTATATTCTATGAGCAACTGGGGACCTGGAGAGCTGCCGGGTCGATGGTTGTCTTGTGAAATCCCTAGGTGATTTCAGGTGGGAGGGAATGTTGTGGCTTCGGAACAGTCCCGATATAATATCCTTTTCCTAAGTATTTCCTATCCTCCCGCCTCCCCAATATATGCACTACTCAAAATGGTGCGCCACCTATCGTCAAGAAAAAGAAGAAGCAAGATGGCCGCGCACGCATAAAACGTGTTCGTTACTGCTCGTTTAAAAATACTCAATAAATAAGTTATAAGACTATCGTGCAATTGCTCGTGTCCATATACATTCGAAGTGCAGTGTTGTGTCTGTGTATACACGAGAACTTCAGCCTATATATTTAGACTTCACCATAACCACGAAGAGTGCTCCAGTCTTGTGAGTATCCTTGCCTTATCTACCCAGTTCTAAAGCTATTTTCATTTACTTCCTGATTGGGATCATCGGGTTAGCCAGCCCTTGGTCTGGTTGTTCTCTGGTTCCCAAAACCACCCTACGAAACACATTGTGAAAACTTCAAGCTGTAACGCACACTATACGAAACCCAGCAGCATTAAGCTACTATTTTACGTTGGTATTCTGTGAGAGCGTGATCCTTCCCCGGTCGAGCCGACCCATTCGTGCTACAGTAACAGAAACAGAAACTTTTTTATCCTTTTTTTTTATACGATAAGGGTGACAAACGAGCACACAGTCCACCTGATGGTAAGTGGTTGCTGCGGCCCATAGACATCTACAGATGTATCCTCTATTACAAATCAAAATGTAGATGCGTTGTCACCCGTGAGGACTAAGATGGAATGCCTCATTTCCAGTAAAAAGGGCCTCCGGCCACATGCACTCACCAAGCGAAACGCAGAGGTAAACCTCTACTTCACGCTGGTTTTCTGCGAGGTCATGGTACCACCCCGGTTCGAGCCGGTCCATCCGTGCGACAACAAAAGCTGCCGCGTGGCTCTACCACTGTTACTGAGTATTCAGTATAGATTATAAATAATACTTATTGAAAGTCCCTCTTTTGTATAATTACCACTGGTTCGAAAAAAAACCTCTGTCCTGGGAAGAACCAGCAAGAAACCCAGCGGGACTTTTTTTTAAAATAACAGCTTACAATCACGTATGTTACACAAATTAACAACACAACAAATTAGAAATAGCTTGGTAGCGATCACCTCATTTCCAGGGGTTATTATCATCTATAATTTAATATAGATACTAAAATAAGTTCTTTGATATTATAATAACACTTTTTATACAAACTTAGTTTAATAAAGTTTTTGAACTTTGGGCAGGTCAAATTTTGTATATTTTCTGGAATTTTGTTGTAAAAGCGTATACATCGCCCCAAGCATGAATTACCGACTCGATGGAGTCGAATAACTGGTACTACTAGCTTGTGTCTGTTCCTAGTATTTACAGAATGAATATCACTTATTTTTATAAAACTACTTTTATTTTTGTGTACGTACATTACATTTTCATAAATGTATTGAGACGCCTAAGTTAATATATTAATTTCCTTAAATTTTGGTTGCGGCGACTCTAGGCTTTAAATCATAAATTGCTCTTATGGCACTCTTCTGTAAAACAAATATAATTTCAGTGTCAGCTGCGTGTCCGTGTCCGTGTAGCAAAATACCATACGACATCATGCTATGGAAATAGCTAAAGTAAACTAGTCTAGCTGTTTCAACAGTAGTTAGAATTCTAATCTTTTTTACGGCTTATGCTGCAGAACTAAGTCTGCTTGCTAGTTTTGATATATGGGGGCTCCATTGAAGCTTCGCGTCTAGTGTGATTCCAAGACAAATGGTGGTATCTACAAGGCTCTGTTTCTCCCCATTTAAAATTACATTAGTATTTAATTGTTTGACATTTGGAGTCATGAATTTCATACATTTCGTTTTAGTGCCATTTAAATGCAAATTATTAACATTAAACCAATTTACTAATTTAGATATAGCATTATTTACTTCGTCAGATTTTAGCAATTGTCGACTTAATTTGAAAATTAAAGAAGTGTCATCTGCAAATAATACTATATCATGGCTATCTTCTGCTATGTAAGGTAAGTCATTAATGTATACAAGAAACAAAGGGGCCGAGAATTGAGCCTTGAGGCAAGCCCATTTGTACCATCGGCCCGGAAGAACTCATACTGTTAATGACAACTTTTTGAGTTTTCTTACTTAAATATGAAATAATTAATTAAAGAGCATCACTTCTTACACCGTTGTGTTGAAGTTTCCTGATTAATGTTTCATGGTGAACACAATCGAAGGCTTTGGATAGGTCACAAAATATACCCAAAGCATCCTGTGAATTCTCCCATAAATTAAATATATATTTAATCAGCTCAACACCGGCATCAGTTGTCGAGCGACCCCTTGTGAAACCAAATTGATTTTTATGAAGTAAATTATTTATATTAAAGAAATTTAACATTTGATCAAGAATATTTTTTCAAAAATCTTACTAAGTGTTGGTAGAACAGAAATAGGTCTAAAATTGGCGGGATCTAATGTACTACCAGATTTAAATAAAGATATTACTTTACTATACTTCATTAAATCAGGAAACACACCAGATTCGATACTAGTATTAAAAATAAGAGCTAAATGAGGCGCGATTGTATCTATTATAGACGCAATAAATTTAACGGAAATCCCCCACAGATCCGCAGTTTTCTTAACATCAAAATTTTAAAAATATTTTACAATATCTTTTGATGATACTTTATGAAATGTAAAATTCTTTGTACACGCATTTACATTTTGTTTAAATAATGATTCGGCGACGGCAGGAGAATAATTCAGTGACTTAGTGGTTAATATCGGAATATCAGTAAAATATTTCTCAAAAACCATTGCTACGTCCTGATCTGATTCGGTTAATTTGTTATTAACACTTAACTGTTAGTTTGAATTGTAAGAGTTGATCTTACCAGTTTCGCTATTAATTATACTCCATGTCATTTTAATTTTATTAGAAGCAGTTTTAATTTTGTTGTTAAAATGCAAAGACTTGGCTGTGGAGCACACTCTTTTAAATATTTTTGAATAATTTTTTACATATTCCCTAAATTCGACGCTATGGTTATATGACCTTTCATGGTACAGATCATATAACCTATGTCTACAACTATACAATTAATATAGCTGCAGCATGGCCCTACCACTTCTGTAGCAAATATAGTTACAATTAGGTGGTTAATGTTAGAAGCCTATGTGAAACAGTGGAATTTTGATAGAATAGAATTTTGAATTTTAATTTTGATAATTTTGAATTTTAATATTGAATATATTAATGATTATATATTTTTTTTGAATAAAGGTGACAAACGGGAACACAGTCCACCTGACGGTAAATGGAAGCCGCAGCCCATTAACATCTCCATATGTCCTCGAGCATATGTCCTCGAGCAAGAATCAAAATTATAGTAGATGCGTTGTCACCCCTGATGACTCCGGATCTCTTCAGTCAATATACGAAACACAGCAGCATTAAGATGCTATTATACGCTAGTATTCTGTGAAAGTGTGGTCCTGCCCCTATCGGGCTGTTCATGCATTCTGCGACCATGATATAGCTGTAGCATGACACTACCACGTAAACGTCTCCGAAACGAGTAGATTACACAAAGGACAATGTCAGATCGTGCCCCACCTTGTACAAAAAAGGTAAAATAATCTTATGAATATCAGACTTTTTGTAACAAATCATTATTTTGTACAACTTGCGCTAAAATATTAAGTAAAAAAAAAAGGAATTCAACGGTTAATATTTTATAATTTCCAGTATTTTAAACAAGTGGGATGCGGGAAGTAAAGACTTTGTAAGAACCTGCGAAGGAGGCGGGGTTATAGCCAGAATAGGAATTTAAATTTTTTAGTTTTTGGTCATTTTGACCCCCTAGGAGTGTAATGAGAGCTTTTTGCCCCTATTCAACCATGACCCCCATAACATCCTCTAAATGATAGGCTATTCAAACTGACTAGGCCTAAAGTTCGAGTCACCCCCCAACTCATTTCTATTCTTTACTTCCAATAACATCTGCGTTTCTTTATACGAAATAGTAAAAAGACACGCTTAAAGTACCTGTAAAGTACTTATTTAATTTAAAATATATATATCGGAAATGACAACAGGAGATCCCACTTCTGATGTCTGAGAATTAGAACAGAGGATTCCAATTTGTGGTCTTGGAAATATACCAGGATAGCTTTAACCGTTAAAAATAATAAAAGTGTGAGAGCGGATGTTCAACTTGCTCTCGTGCTTACGCAATTAATCATTATCAGTAATAACAACGTAACGCACTATAAATTCAGCATAGTGAAATTACAGTTCGACCACACCGTAACCCGTCTCCGCCAGAATCACACACCAGTGTAATGTGAGGTA